GGCCAGCTGATGAAAGCTAGCACACTGCAGCCCTGTGTCCCTGAGCTCCCTGTAGCATTTTGAGTCCATGTAAACAGCGCAGGGGAAAAGGCACAGAAAGTCATGACAGTTTGCTGCTGAGGGTATGTCTACACAGACAATGCCGAGCCATCTAAAAGTGCCCAGTGTAGCTCTACTGACGCAACACCCCTGCTTTAGAGTAGCACGCCCCATGAGGGTATCTACTTGGCAGGATTAATTAACCTTAAGGGAACACCAGAATTTAATAAACTGAACAAGAGGTATCTCTGCATGGAACTACAGTATGCTGGATGTGCATTCCCTGGTAACTAAATTGAAAGCAGCAGCAAAGCACAGATTTTACCGTATCTATAAAAGAAATCAGGCATACATACTAAGTGGCTTGTTAAAAGCATACAGGAGCCTGAAACAAGGCTAGGAGTAATAGAGTTCATGCTGACATGACTTGGCAATGACATTTGTTTTTAATGAAATAAAAGGAACAAAAAGTACAATCAAATCAAACTCTATAAAGGCAGACCCCATGGAGATCATTAGAATTACTGTATAAACTGCAAGTACTTATGAACAATTCTACTTCAGAAAAAACCAGACTTTCTACCAGGAATATTTTCTGTGATTCCACTTCGAATCATCTGAGATTTTGACACGGTATTTTGTGGGGCTGACAGAAGAAATATTTTAAGGAATTTACTGTTGGAATCAAGTCTCCAGAATGCTTTAATTGGTAACACCTATCTTTAACAATATATCACTGAGTAGATAATTCTGTAATTAGGAATTACTGCATGTCTTAGTGACAATATTCAGCTCTTCCTGCATTCTCGGTGTGACACAGAGAATGCTGGGATCAAGTGCTGTCGTGTGGATCAGATGGATTTCTGCTCTAGGTTAGGAAATTCTAACATTACCTTGCCTTAATTTCAGGGCTCATCCCACAGCACTGTGACAAGCCCTTTGTTGTGAATGTTTTCATTATTTTTTTACCTAAAGCACTGATAATGCAAAAAGGGCCAAGTGTTCGGATGAACCGAAGAACTGAACTTTTTGAGAACTGCATGCGTACATACCAATGAATCAAACTGATCCCGCGGGCAAGCAAACAGCCGGCCATTAACACTGAGAGTTGTAAACACCGACACATCATGAGGTTTGAGCACAACCTTTTCTGTGAACATGAAACAAAAGATCATTTATTATATACATGAAGATTTTACAACAGGACTGTTCCAACAGCTGCACAGATCATCCTTCTGGGAACACGTTTTGCACAGTAAGCCAATGTCCAGGATACACAACAGATGACTACAAGGTCCTCTTTATTGAAGAAATGTGGCAAGCAGCTCAGCCCAATCCAGTCTCCTACAGCACTGGCGTACAGAGCTGGCATTCCAGCCCCAAACTCTACAGACAGGTCAAGAAGCCTGTGCTGCCATCTCTAGAAACTACCTGCAAAAATTCAGCCATAATGAGGGACTCCATTCATTCTTCTCTGAACTGTAAGCATTTGGAGAGCTGTTCCTAATAGAAATTGCCTTAGAAGACAGTAACTGCATAAGGAGGTGATGAAAAGCAACTGTATTCAAATCTCATTACAGCAGTTCTAAAGGAGCGTCACATCACAGGTAAAGAAAAGATAATGAAGCAGCATAAAACTGTCTCTTCCAGCGTGTGCTGGCTGTCAGCAAACCTGACAATAAAAAATTGCTGCAACTGCAAAAAGTAGAGCTGCCTGGCATCAGGTCCCAGAAAGTGAGCTGGTTTTGGCAGGCATTACTGTTTGCAAAAATGCCTTCCAACACAGCTCTCATTAGCTCTGTGTGTGTCCACACAGTCATACTCAACCAACACCAGTTCTCTAGCCGAATTCCCCTTGCAGTTGCTCTCCCAATTCCATAGCCCGTAGTGGAGGCCTGACTCCCGACCCTTTGCCAACACCAGGTCAGTGGGCTTGGCACTAAGTTGCTCAGCAGTGATTTGAATGGACAGAGCAGCCAGAGTGGTAGTGACCACTGCTGGAATGTCTGCAC